GTTGAGTTCGCAAGGTATATCAACTTAGTTATAAATAGGCCAAGAATCTCAAGGTTTAGACCAAGAAAAAAAAAAGAGTGGGAGAGAGAGCTATGAAATGGAGACTACAGCCAAAAACAAACAGAAAACATGACAAAATTAGAGACAGGAAGGGGAGGGAGTAAAATTAACAGTTTGGAGGGAGGGAGAGGGTGTTTGTTAATGTCAAGTCCGTTTCACACTCTCTTTCTCACACTTTGCCAACTCACTTCAACATGTATATGCATATAAAAGAATAAAAATAAAAAAAAAGAGAAATAATTAACAACTAAAACCTTGATTAGTTACCCATAATTGCTTGGCAGGACAATGTTATTAGCTAATATTGCTCTCATCCACCCTTTCTTTGGCCAGTAAATCGCACCTCCACTCATGTGTATACAGTGAGTTGTAATTAACACACTGCTCCTGGTTTATAGCATCACAACACTAATCTCTATCTTTGTGTACGTACGTACTAGGTGTTAATTTACTAGTTTATTAGATAATTTTATTTTATTTTATGGTTAAGATATTCTCAGATTAATTCTCGAAAACCAAAGTTAAATCTCATTAAAAAAAATTACTTCTAATCTTTTCTGAAGAATATTCGGTTCAAGTAATTATATATGAGTGTAAAATGCTTATTCACTAATGATGTTATAAAAAAAACCCATTTATTTATTACTGTAAAAATAAATATATTGCTATATATATTGGCAACAAATCAATCATCATTTTTATGCATGGAAAATAACACTCGTTAGTTAATTAGATATGGCTTGTTTGCCTTTTCTATTGTATATTATCTGCGTGTGTGTGTGTGTGTGTGAGTGGCAGAGTGCTGTGGTTGGTTTTCTCACACGTCTTGTTGAAGGAAAACACCCTAAGCATACATACCGGAAAAAACAGGCAATCACAAGTTGTGTATAAAAATATGAATAAAGAGAGTGTGTGTTAGAGAAAGCAAAGCGAAGCGAAGAAAGGCCGTTACTTTGCCTCGAAGATTCTCCAAGAATTAGAGATGATTGGAGTGCAAGCCTGGAACCCACGGAATCTGCGGTGCTCCTCTTTCCTGTGTCCCTGTAATTTCCATGTCTGCATGACCTGCCATTCATGGATTTCTTGTGCCTTTTCCTTGCCATTACTACTTGCATAGTAACTAACACCTTACTAGTGCTCCATTATTTCACTATTTCATTGGTGGGTGGGTAGGCTGTGAGCTTTCACTAGAAAAAATTGCATAATCAGGAGATAGAAATTTTTTCCTAAATATCCAATCCTCGAGTGGAAAACTAGATTAAATAAAAACAAAACAAAAAATAATCCCAGTATAATGTCTAAAAGGTATTCCATTGATACCATGCCATCCACGAAAACAGCATACGTTTTATGAGATTTACCTCAATATTCATACATCACCACGCAATATAGGGCATCTCTGGGATTGCGGTCTAAATAGAATGGTTAAAATTCAATTTGTTTTTACAGGAAAAATATCTTAAATGTTAACAACTTGGATAAGTTTCGTAGTGAGTGTTTAAATGATGCATTATTAAGTACTTAATTTATTTCTAATCATTCAATCCATGTGCTGTTGCCTCTTCCATTTTATCTAATCACTAATTAAACTCCTTAATTATGTCTCCTGTTATTTATTTATTGATTAATTTTTTTAATTTAAAGTATCCACCCATTAACCATCCAATAACAAACCTGCTCCTCAAGCTGACTTAACTCTTTTACAATCTCATCATTGGGTTCACCAGATTCGATATAGCGTTACACAAAGCTGGGCTTGGTCAGAATTTGCAGGTCTTGAAGTGAAACTGGTTGGATTATTATATACCAACAAATTGAAGGCGCATATATTCAATATCTCAGGACACTAAGATATTGCTAGAGATGTGGGATCCATTTCTGGGATTTGATGGTAATCAATATGTGGTTATATATCGACGCAATACAAAATTCTATAGCATTTCTGTGCCATGACCAATTCTTGACGATAACAGTCAGTCATAGATGGCCACTGCATATATATCTTATTTAAATCAACCTGAGTGTCCAGATTTTCCAATCTTGTGAAGTAATATTCTTTGCATTTAAGAAACACCAAGAAGTCAAATTTTTGTGCATAATGAATCCATCTAGTTCATGTTTAAGGGCTTCAAACCTAACACCAAAAAATGTGCCTTAAGTTGATTAATGAATCGGAATTAGGATGCTTTTCATTTTCATTATTATTATTCTATTTATTTACTTTTTTATTTTTATTTTTGGGGGGGTGGGGGAGCACATGCACCATGGTTATAATTTTGCTAGTTTAATGAATTTCTTTTTTAATGGGAATTGAGGGTCAGATAATTGATATTCAGCCGAGTGAACCCACAAAATCAACCTATTTTAAATAAAGTGATAACTTTTTTTTTTTTACAACACGATGAATGCAAAAGTGCTACTGATTTTTCAACTCCTAGATGATTAATTAAGCGTGTTACAAACCTCACTTTATTCCACTATGGAACTTGGAAATCAAGTGGAAACTTCTACTGATAAATCTCTAAATTGATACGGGCCATTATTTTATTCCTAAAGGATCACAAAATTTTCTACAAATGAGATATTATCTACAATATCGTACACAACTGACCATGCCATACATGATTCATGCGTAAGTGGTAGTGATTAGTGATTTTCTTTTTCAATGATATTCTTTAAGTACGAAGCAAGTCAGTCAATGCATAATGGGTGGATTAAGGTCGGCAACTTCTATGCGTGAAGAGGCATTATGGATTGGTTGTGTGAGGCACGTAAGGAGCCAAAACCAATCCAAGAAACTGTGATTTAGGCAAGCAAAGGATCTCTTAATCATGGGTTCCTCTCTTACCCTCAATATCTTCTAGGCGGCCACATGATTCTCTCTTTCCTTTTGTTTTTATGTTTATGCTTCTACAAAAAGCGTGGGCGCAGAAGAGAGCTAGCTTGGAAGAGTTCGCTGCTAACAAGTGTGCCATTGAATGTATAACCGACTTTATAATAGTATACTATACTACTATTTGTAATTCACAAGTCATCCACGGAAGAGAGGTATACAGTAGCTTCTGAGCCACTCAAATGGAATATGTTACGTTGACACTAAAGCAACCGGAAATTCCCAAATAATTTAATCAGAGAAGGAATTAATATATGAGTAAAATATTAATACAAAAAAAATAAAATTGATCCACTTTCTTAGATCTAATGAATGGGCTATTTATTGTGAAGCATAAACTGGCCAGTATGGTTTGACATGCCTAATTATGCCACCACACTAATTAAAATTTAGGCTGAAAGGCATCTCTATCTCTCTCGATGAAATAATATTTAAGTACTCCTACACTCTAGTTAAGCATCACAACATCACTGTACAGGCTTCATTTCACCTAAAGAGCCGTCAACTTCTGACCCTCTAATGAAACTCTATCGGTCAACAATTACTCTGAAACTAATCGAGTACAGTTAACGATGATACAAGACAGAAAACAATGGCCTTTGATTTAAGAGATCATTAATGGGACTGAGAATGTTATTATCCTTGTTGACATCTGAGTTATTTTAATATCACCGTCTCCAGTGTCTTGTTCGTTAAGATGGGAGCCCAGTCTCAATTTAGGAACACTCGGTAATCATCCAGCTGAAAGTCTTTTCTTTCTAAAATTTAGTGCGCACAGGATTCTAGCAACATGCTTCTATTTTAACTTTCTTCTGGTCTGTTTAAAACAACATGATCAAGTGGAGTTAAGGGTCAATAAGTCAAGTCTTTTCTTTAACACTACACTCCTACACCCATAAATAGATGTACTCTAGGGTTCAACTCAGCTCTGTTGACTTGTGAATAAAATCAATAGAAAAAAATAGACAATGCTAGATTAGATCACCTGTAAAGTGAGGACTTGAGCAGGCCTTCATTGCCACAAATATTGCACACCACATGTTCTTTCTCTTTTCTTCCCTGGATAAATCAACTCTCAACCTGCAATTGCTCTCGTGGTCTTACTTTACTAACATCATAGCACTGAACCAAATCATTTCCCATTAGTGTTCAGCATGAATTTGATGACGAAAATCATCACCATCAACAAGGTGTTACTTTATCAGATTTTATGTTAGTATGGATTGGCTCTATATTTTATTTCTCTAGGCTGAGTGTGAGGGAGTAGTACTACTTGAAACAGATGTGGGTTTTACAAAAATTAAAATGCTTTGGGTTTTACAAAAATTAAAATGCTTACTTTTTCTTTCAATTGATACTGACTCGAACGCTACTCTACAATGTTGGGTTCACGCCTCTGGTAGTTGGGCTTCTTGGGTCCCTAATGCACTGACACTTGTCTTAGGAAGTAACTGGTCAACTAACTCTAGTTCACCAAAAAAAAAAAAACTAGAAAAATCAACGTGGAGGTTTTATTGTCGCCTTCTTAAAATAAGAGAATAGAAGTCTCCATCTGCCTCTGTTAAGTAAAGAATGTCCACTACTCATCCGATGATATCAACAGCCTAGGACTCTTCCCGAGGAAAAAACTCGAGCAACCCCAACGATCAAGAGGTACACTGAGACAGGCAATACCGAGTTATTTTATGAAATTCTATTGTTCAACCCCATTGAATTATTATTTCGTTCCATATCCACTTGTTTCTGTATGCCCTTCATAAATTTATTGATAAAAGGTGAATGTTCCAGAGTACATTTCAAGTTCCGTGGTTTTCAGTCTGCTATTTCTACAGTGTCTATTTCTAGCGTGGGAACTCAGCAAATCAATTCTAATTATAATGCTCAACTTATGAAATAAAATATTCATATTCACCATGTACGATGGTGGATGGAGAAAATTTACCGATTCCCCACAAACACATGTATTCCTTGAGGGCACAGTGTAGCATCCTGTGGATGTTTCATATAATGAGTTCTTCACAGCTTCATCAGCTGACATAACCTGCAGCAGGATTCCCATAAAAAATATAAATAGATAGATAGGAAACAACATTTTCCGTTGGGTTTTTTAACAGCCGAAGCAACGAATCATGAGAGAAAAATGGCATGAGCCAAAACATTTAGGGGCACCGTTCCACTCGTAGTCGTCGATGTTTGTGCAAGTTAAACTTCCATATTTTCTATAATAACCTCAAACAGCTACCTAAACTCATCCCAACGAGTCCACGAAGAGAGAGAGCAGGAACTCCATGCTTCTATTAGAAGTATTATTTAGAGTTCCATAGAAAATTAGATCAGCAGTGTTCTGTACCAAAGAAATTTCAGAAGCCAGGCTTCTACTTAACCAAGAAATAACTCTTTCTATTTGGAAGGTTGCAACTTCTTAACCGCCACAGTTTCTACTCATGCTTACTGTATAAGATGCAGTTGAAAAGTTCTTGCCTGCAGTGCAGGACTGGCAAATGCTACCTCAGATGCACTAGCATTGACGATCAGCACAATGTATGAGTAGCTGTAGAACAGGTCAATCTACTATCAGTAATTGCATAATTTGGAATCATAGTAGAAGCAGTGACATATACTCACCCACATGGGATCCGGTTGAGGTAATCCTGGAAAACCTCCATGGCAATCTTCAACACTAATCACTATAATACCAGGGGGCCATGAAGTGGCCATCTTCAACACACATCACTATAATACCAGGGGCCCATTAAGGGCCGCTGTTGTGGAATCGTACCCGTTCCTAAACGCCAATTATTGTCACCACAATATACTCCCTACTAGACTGATACGTATAAAAAGACACGAAAAGGAAGGGAGAAACCCAGAAGAAAGTATTATGATAGTTCAGGAGATAGATGCGGTTGCCATTTCAACTCAAGGTCCTTGGAGAAAATTAGATATTGCTTTTAGTTTGAGAATAAATATAAGTCATAAGCACTCAAAAAGAAGGAAAAAAAAAAGGATGATGAAAATATCATTACAGAATAACATTCAAGTATGAGAGTAATTATTTGATGGATTGTACTAAAATTTGTGGAATGATCAAGGAATAGCATCACTCCAGTTATAGCTGGCAAAGTTTTCGAGGTTATGCAGGCCATAAGTACTGTGAGGAAAGCGTAGTTTGACTGGATATCAAAAGAACAATAATTATAAGAACATTGTCAAGAACATAATTCTCATCAAAGGGCCCATTTCCATGCAAATGATTGTAGACAGCGCCCAACACAACATGAAGGCCAATAAAATATCTGAATCAAGATTCACAAATGATGTCCTCTGGCTATCTGGTAAGAGCCTGTTCTAACAAGGAAACAGCATAAAATCAGAGGAATTTTACATATTTGAATGCACAAAATACAAATACAAACATATTGAGATGGTCAGCAAAGTTGCATAATTTCAGAGCAAGGAAACAATTGAACTATTTCACAGAATTGTTGGCAAACTGAGACACCCAACAAGCGCTCTACCATATGGATCATCTGCATAGCATTTTTCAACGTGTAAGATGCTAGGATGGTAGACAGACACTTCATACACAAAATAACAACCTTCCCAATAACCTCCTTCAATACTCCACACTCCATTAACCTCCTTCAACTGAATAACTTACATGGCACCCCTGCTATCTACATTCTTATAAATGCAGGTACGCACTGTCTTTTTAGAAGCATTAATAATAATAATAATAATAATAAAACATTACCTAACGCATAGAAGATGACAACTTCATAGAAAACAAACAAAACAAGATAATCTGTTTCAAAATGTCATACACCTCAGCAGTGTGAGCCCATTGATAGAGCAAACCCAGCATGTTCTTAATAATGCACACCGAAGGGCCATCATTCGCAAACAATTCATTCAGAATACCAGGTAACTGCAAACCAGTAGCTTAGCTGCATTTCCCATCAGCTGCGAAAGCTGGAGAGAACACGGCATCATGAAAGTAACTGTGTGGACCATCATTCGCAAACAATTCATTCAGAATACCAGGTAACTGCAAACCAGTAGCTTAGCTGCATTTCCCATCAGCTGCGAAAGATGGAGAGAACACGGCATCATGAAAATAACTGTGTGGACCATCATTCGCAAACAATTCATTCAGAATACCAGGTAACTGCAAACCAGTAGCTTAGCTGCATTTCCCATCAGCTGCGAAAGATGGAGAAAACACGGCATCATGAAAATAACTGTGTGACCATAAAGCATTAAATCAATTCAATATGCTTATAAAAGAATCCCCAAATGCCTTCATAAGAAACAACTTGATGCCCATTCCACTGCACAAATTACAAATACAGTGACAAAATGTGTAACAAAATGAACAGAACACAACACGATATGACACACGATTAAGTGTTAAGCTCACATTTTTTCATCAAATTCACGTACATATTTGTAATAATCTTCAGGGTTGGGCCAACAACACCAACGCATTAAGCATTGAACAAAACACTTACAGCTGAATGCCGCGATGGCTAATTGGCATTCCACGAGAGATTTGGCATCCACAATTGAAGGCTCTTCGAAAGCTTTGTTCGCAGTTACCTCAAATTCCAAAAAGAAACCGTTCAATTTTCACCCTAATAACTAACCACTACCCTTCAAAAATACCAAAACAAAACAAAAAAACACCTACATGTCATGGAAGGCCGCCGCTGTCTTCTTCAATCTTGATTCTCTTCCACTTCGGTATCCGTAACGGTTAATGCAGCGGTTTGGCTAGCGTATAAATAACAATACCCGTCTCTAACAGCATTCGCATTGCACGCGATTATAGATTGAGTTACCCAAAATGCCCCTGATATAGCAAACTGTCCTGAACTGCATCAGCATTTTCAAACAAAATCACAATCGTTAGCAAACTGTCCTGAACTGAATCAGCATTTTCAAACAAAATCACAATCGTAATATCAAGTCTCAAATAAATAAATAAATAAATAGAGAGGGGAACCTGAGAGGAGGAAGAGACTTCTGGAGGCATCGATGAAGAGGAAGAGGAGCCAGTGAATGCAGCGTTTACGAGAGGTCATTGAGAGGAACTAGAGAGACGAAGACGACGGTGGTGGCGGTGGATTGATTTTGGAATGAGACGGCGTCGAGGAGATGGTGGTGAAGGAGAAAAGTGCGCGTTGGGATTGGAAGGAGACGCGGAAGAGGGAAGTAGAAAAAAAAAAGAGAGGAGAGAGAAGCAGGCATTATCGTTGGCTCTGCTTCTCCTTTTGGGAAACGGAAAATTGAGTTAGGAACTGCGTTTATAAAGAAAAGGCAAGGAGAGCGGCGCAGACATTACCGGTGGCTCTGCTTCTCCTTACGGGAAACGGAAAGCAGAGTTAGGCACTGTATTTACAGTATTATACCATAAGATATTTCTCCCTTCTTTTTATTTTTTCGTTGACCTATATTTTTATTAAAAAAAACAGAAAAGATATTTATAGCCCGCAAAAAATAGTAGAAAGTAGGGCCCAAGCCCAAACGCTCCACTCATTTGTTAGAAAAGAGAAAACCCCAAAAGGTTTCACTAGATGATTATGGCCCATACGATCACTGTGCCCGATTTCTGGCCTTTCTAAGCTTTTCAATTTACAGAAATTATCCATTACAAAATTAATCCAAGGTCTGATATTATTCCGCACGTGAGGGGTAAAATTGCAAATCTCTTTTCACGAGAAATGAAGAAAACGGGGCATATGAAAGATTTTATCACGGATCTCATTATTTTCATGTGAAAGAAACAAGGGAGAAAAGTAAGAAACTCATCGACCAAATCAAATCAAACAACAAGAGTTTTTATTTTCCTGATTTGGGCCGCTTTTTAGTTTTTATGACCTAATTTCAAGCACTCGTGAGAGTTTAGAAATATAATATTGGTTATTTTTAAAATATTTTTTTTGTTAAAAAATTTATTAAAATAATAATTTTTTATTTATTATAAATTAATTTTGATATTAACATATTAAAATGATTTAAAAAATTTAAAAAAATAACTTAAAAATAACACTAACATTATTCAGAAATAAAACACATAGATTTTTTTTTTCAAACAATAAGAAGCCAATCCACCACGGATCAACCCTAATCCATGTGATTTGGAAGGAGACTAGGAACCTAAATTCGCTTCACACGACAAAAACACGTGGGAAGAACTGGCCAAAAGGTTGAATTGTCTCTGTCGATGCATTTCTTTTTCATGTGTGCCGTGTGCATTGTTCATCATTACAGGGGAGGGCATGCGGTTTCTGGTATAATATCACATGCCTTGTGTTTGTTCAGCAAGGGGGACAGATTTAGCGGACGAAGAACACAGTGGAAGCAGGCTAGAACCCAAGGGATTTTGCCATGAGAGAGTTTCTTGACAAACCCAAGATGATAAATTCTGAAAATACAGCAATTTGTCATCTTCAAGCCGTAAGTAATGCTTACGAGTTAAGCCACCGCCGAAATCCAGAATCTGGTTCAAGGTTAGCTTGGTCTAGTTGTGAAGAGACCAGGTGTGGATTGCTTCTAAAACCATGTTGTTTTTTGTTAGTCTCAGGTAGCTGTAAAGACCATAGATTTGTCCGGTATTAACAAGTCTTGCCCAGTAATTTGCAACTTAAGTTGATCCTCCACAACGTGTGGGGCCATGATTGTGAAACACACAATCCTATGCATGTGCAACTGCATCATGATGGTGATTATGATCATGAAAAATCAACATCCGTGAAATTTCTTGAGCTCCTATATTTTTCGTTGACTTAATGCATTGGTGGTCTCAAGAAAAACAATGACCATGACCTCTCTTTACATGTGAAGGCATACTGTACTGGTTTGGAGGAATTCATGCTTAATTTTTGAAATCTTGTACAACTCGGTGGGTTTAGGCCGGATGTATTTTTAAAAAATTATTTTAGGTTGATTAATTAAAGTTTAACTCTTAACTTAAATTAAAAAAAAAAACTAAAACAGGGTTAGAATCAAGATTTTGATTAAGATCCTATTTGTATTTGTTTATTGTAAGGTAATTTCTTTTTGAAAAATAGTTTTTTTTTTAAATAGATTCTTAAAATATGAATTATTTTATAATATTTGGTAATATCATGAAAAAGATATTGTAAAATACTTTTTAGTGTTTGGTTATGTCATGTAAAATGAATTAAAAAATAACTTATTAATATTTTTTTAAGTTTATTAAAATAATAAACAAATCTTACAAAATAAAATATTGAAAAAAATATAACAATTAAAAGTTTGAGGGATAGATTTGATATAATTAGTAAATAACATGATATTTCTAAATTTTTCACAACTTCTGGAAAGTATTTTCTATCTAAAATAAAAAAAAAACACTTCTTTTTAGAATAATAATAAGTGATTTTTTATTATCTAATTTTTTTAATAATAAACAAACACAAAAATAATTTTTAAAAATTACTAAAAAACAAACAGTGTACTAGTTTTTTTTTTAATAACTCTAGCACTTTGATTTTTATGAATTAACAAATCATTTTTATTAAATATATTTTTAATTCAACTCGTTTTTGTTATAAATTAGTAAGAAAAAAGATAATTTTTAAATTATAATTAAGAGTTGAAAATTATTTTTCGCGAGTAAGGTCTAATAAATCTAAAATACAGGAAACTTTGCTTAATGAGGTGAATGATTTCTTAACTAATGTAAAGTTATGATATGACGAGCCTTGTTGATAACATTGTGTTCTTTAATTGGTCTAGCTCAAGGAGTTGGTTATGATAATGGGTCTCCTTAGATGCACTATCAATGGCGGACACTCACCATGAATGGTAGGTGTGCTTCATGGAAAGGGAAAATATACGGGGAGATTTATTTATATGATTACTTGTCATGGTCATACTAAACATCATTTCTTTACTTTTTAACATTTAACCCATAAGGCAAAAGCATAAGGAAATAACATGAGCACCACTCAAAATCTGGCTTCATGGAGCAAGGATTATTACAACAACTGTGTGAAATAAAGGAAATATATTGATATAAAATTTCCCAGCCGACATGGAGAATTCAGTGCCCATTTTCACATTTTACATAATTTAAGTCTCTATCTGACTTTCTAGAGAAGTTAGAATCATTAATTTCTAAGACAAAAGTAGTTTACAGTTCCAAACTGATGCAGGATAGCTATGCCATCCATTTCATGCTGATTTCCTTGTCATGTTTAACAGCATGAAGGGGATGGATGTACTAGAGAATTGTGTATAAGAACTAAGGTTTTGGTCAATGGAGGACAACTTTCTGGTACTTGTTGGCAGGGGAAGAAAAATCGGGACCTTCACAGAGCTCAAGATCCCTCTTCTTGCTCAAACAGGAACTGAAACTGTTGAAAGAGTCTTGGTGTATTAGCCGAGCTGTTGGTGAAGAAATGGTTACTGGTGGGATCTCAATGGAGTCTAATTGGGGAGGCGGGTGCTGCCATTGAGGGAGTGGTCCAGCCAGGAGAAGGGTCTGCAGAAGTGGACCGGCTTCCTTCACTGCCTGCAAGAGTTTCCCTTTCACTGGCAGTGGCTTGTCAGCTGCTAACTTGAGGATCACTTCTGGGAGAGATGATTGCAATGTTTCCGGGGGAATTGTATCAGTAAACTGCAGGGGAACAGTGACTTTGCTTGAATCAGGAGAGCTGCTGTGATTGTTGGAGTCGCTAGCCTTGGATTCATCTTCACTGCTGTAAGTTCTTGTGAGTGAAGCGGATTCTTGCTTCAAGTGCTGCATTTCTTGCTGCAGCTGATTTTCCTGCTGTTTTTGTAGCAGTTGTTGGAGGGCTAGTTTGTCAGAAACCAGTTCCTGGCATAGTATCTGGGCCTCATTCCTTTCCCCAATTGCCTTGCTTATAAGATCTTTGAGATGGAATATCTCAATTTCTCTTCTTGTGATCTCCTCCTTCGCTGATACAATTGCTGTTTCTAGTTCTGTAGTGTACAAGAGATAATGCCTCAAGTCTTCGATCCCCTGCCAGTAGTTAACAACATCTACATTAGTCTCAAAACAAGTACAAGAAATAGAATTGGATCCAGCAAGGTTAGCAGGAAGAATGCATGTTGATATATAGCTCACCTCATCTTGGTAGAAGCATGGCCAGTTCAGAGGACCGGAGTAATCTTCCATGTTTCTTTGTTGTCTAAATCAATCGAATGGATGTCTTGAGAGAATTAAGTGAAGAATGGGAGGGGTGGTACCTTCTTATAGGAACAGAATCTACTAGCTAGAGTTCTGTTTACTTTCCTTTTATTCTCTCTTTGCTTTATTTTCTATCATGGGACATGCGGTTTGATAAAAATACTCACTACAGGCCAAAACCATGGAAAGTGCCAAAAGACAAGGCGGGTAAAAATCTTCGTGCCATTAGATTTCATGTCCACAAAGGGCCACTACTGCTACTTTGGAGGGAATGTGAATTGCAGTGAAAGTGGCTGCTAGGATTTTTCCTGGTACAGTCCCTCTCTTTTAACCACAAAAGAGCTGCAGAGGGTAAGCACAGTGAACACACGTGTGGAAGCGAAAGTAAAATTTAAGATATTGCTGAAATAAGTGCTTGATCTGTCCCCTTAAATAGAAAAAATCATCAAAATACAGTTCATGAAAGCAGTAAATCATTTACAAATTATTTTACAGCCATTTTAGAAAAAAACATATCCTCCCCTTTACCTTCATTTTTAATTTTTGAAGTTAAAAGGGCATCATTCTTCTCATTTTATCTAGAATTTAAAAATCTCTGCCACCAATTAATTCGGTGCTAACTGAGTTTGTTCTGAGACTTGAGTTGTATAATATTCTCCTGATAAGATAGAACCGTACGGTGTCTTCGATCATCTGTAAAAGGGAAGTCCAACATGAATGATTAAAGCCATCTGATCTTAAACCTCTTTCTTTGAAAGTATATACCCCTATATTGCCCTTTTTGACTCTCACAGGAATACAAGTACATGGATTAATAGTTATTATACTTTTCTAACAACGTTTATGGGATCCTGCGAAAGAGATCCACAAAAAGATAATGGGAATGATCCCATTCCATCAACGATAATTAAGCAAAATCACAGATTAAAGAATTGGGGATCAGTGTCAGGAAATATATCCACTTTCTTCTTCTTCTTTTTGCCTAATCAAACTACAACGAAGCATGGTAACTAGTTTTTTTGGTTGTTGAGGTTTGAGAAAATATGCTCAATAAAAGCTATAAATTTATTACATATCTTGGATTTGGAGATTTAACTTACTTTTCTTCACTGCATGATTCATTATCGCTAATTTTACTTTCATTCATGGTAGTTATTTTTCAATTAAGACACCTTACATTTATCTGATTAAAACAAAAAATACAAATGTTTAAGTGGGAGGTTTAGTTTAGTTTTTTTTTTTTTTTTTTTGTCAAATTTGGTGAGAACACTGTAAATAATGGATTAAGCCATCCTTGTTTCTTTCTTGTCCCACTCGAAATCATGTCTGCATGCATATCTCTCTTTCTCACTCACACGCACACACATATCAGTCAGAAAAGGAAGCTGAACCGAAAATTTGTTGTTGGCAAAGGAGATAATGGTAGGGTCCCCAACTCTTTCATGCAATGTCCTAGCAATAACAAAGTTATCCTTGAAACGAAAAAAGTATAAGCGGATCCCGATTTGACCAATCCAAAGGGAGGTGCTATTTGAGAGCAAAAATCCAATTTATGCCGTATTTTAGAGTGTCCCTCTTGCACGTTATGTTGCGCTTCGCTCACATGTATACTTCATTTTCAGTATACAGGATTTTTCACCCAGGTTTGTGGGGTCTCAAGTGGTGCAATTGCCACCGGACACATCATAACATGCCTTTTATTTCTTGCGTTAATTTGAAGCAAACTGCCGCAAGAAAACGATCTTAAGGGTTCAAAAAAAGACAATCTGCAGCTTCAGCATTGAAATGATGGGAATTTGCCAGTTGCTATCTTGGCGTTCTTTGAGTCTTGCATGGTGGAAGTAGAACAACTAATTGCATGTTACCTAAAGAATTGTATGGAAGGAGAGGAAGTCAAGTCCACTATAGCGTGGAAAGGGGCATCACGAAACCATCTAAACCCATGTTTGATAAGAAATCAAAGTTCAATGGATGTAGGCCTGACTTGAGGCTCGAGAAGTTCCATATGGATTAAATGAACACATTAAGGTCGCAGTTCCTGTAATGTAAGCAGTCGATAAGATGTCCAGATATCTTTTTCTACGCTGTGCTCGGGCATGCATCTATTCATCATCAACTATAAAATTTACATTAAAAAAAAAAAAGAAAAACAAGATCGATCATCCATAAATATCTAATAATCAATTTAAAGATCAAGAAAAAGGAGTGAGTTTAAAGTTCCCTCTCCCTCCATGTTATTATACTTTTTTCGAAATTTATATTAGCAACCTTTTTTAATCTAATTTTATATTTCCTTTTTCCCTCTTCGTGCACAAACGCGGTTTGGAGCTGAGGAAAAATGAAGTGAAAAACAGCTCTTTTTTGTCACCTTGCTTTTTCTATTTGCATGTGAGACGGTGATAGTTGCTGGACCCATATGTCACGCTTTTTCCTTTTTCCCTCTCTTCGCTGAGATTTCCTGTATTTAACCTATCTCTTGCTCCACCTAAGCATGGTAATTGGATAAATAATAAAGATCGAAAATTTTTACTAAAAATTGTCTCCCAATAGCCTAACATAATACAACCATAACAAAGCAAATCTTCAATTACAGTCAAATTTTGCCAATCAATGGTTAGAAATTTAGGATACTTCATTCAAGTTCTAAAATCAAATCTGATCACAAGAAATCTAAGTTGTTCATCAGTTTAGATACACTAAGCCCCATCTTACTGACTAATTGCTAGTCTAATCAGTCTCCATTTTCCAAATTGCTTTTCCTCCTCGACGCCCGTATCCACCACTTTCCATTTCACGATTTGTTAATTCCCGACCTCTTTAAGAGTCAAATGGTTCCAGTTTGTAACCCAGTAATGATCGATTAAGTGTCAGATGGTACCAGTTTGTACCCCGATAATGATCGAATGACATGAGATACATAGGTCATATGAATCCGTGGACATCAGGAAAGAAAGAAACTACAGAAATATGATTTCTCAACAGCCCAGACTCACATACTGATATGATTATATCTTAACCTGTCCAGAACGCCAATCATAACTAGTTATTCTGATTATAATATGCCTTTCAACTTCGCAAAATAAACCTATACTCGAGCCAATAAGAAAACTAGATAACGTGTGTTAATGTCTGCGAAAAAGCAAAAAATCAGGGGAGCGAATGAGAACTGAAGAACTGAACCAGGTCTTACTCTCATTAACCGCTACGTACTGTTGTACAGGCATAGCACCAGCAATTTCTAATTTCTGGTAAATGCATCATTTAACATCAACATTCTGCTTTCTCGGATTAAAATCAGGATCACAACGATATAAATGTTAGCCATGGATAGCTGTTGGCAAATGATGTTCTTCCGTATCTGCAATTTAAATGATATGTAGATAAAATGATGCAGGCCAAATACAGCACATCCATTTAGAAGCAAGTTCGATATGATCTCTTTTTCCTGAAGGGAAAGAAATGTAACATTGCACACGATTGTGTTGCTTATGTTCAACTACAACTCAAATACTTGAACTAAACCTAGATTAATTTTGTGCACTTCCTAATCATCAACAGGGAATCATTATAAAGAAAGTAGAGTAGCTAGAAAATTTACAGGGTCAGCGAGAATCTGAAAGAGATTTCTTTCAGAACACAACATACAGGACCCAAAAAGGGGCAGGATGTAGAAAATTTGCGTCCACATAGATTAGATGGTACAGATAGATTAGATGAGAGAATTTCAACTCACTCAGTTCTTCGCATTTTCACATTGAGTGGAATTTCCTTGTAGGACTGGACTTTCTCAGCTGCTCGACACGATGGCCGAAGGGATGTCCTTCGTGGTTCTTGAGTTTCAAATCTGAGAGCACCGTTCCCTGTTTCAGATTTGATTTTTACAGATGGAGCTGATAATGTTGGACAGCTTTCATGAACTGGATCACCATGTATTGCAGGAACATGAAATTTAGCATCATCAGTCTGAAACAAATCTTCAGTTGGTTCTTCTATTTGTGCCTCAGACTTAATCCTAATGGATTCCTTTCTTCTACAGGTCCTGCTGAGACACGCATAAAAAAGTGTACAAATCCTTGATTTCTCCTAGGTTCTTTCCAGAGTGCTGAAGTCAAAAGACCTTTGTGAACTGAAATTACACAGGATTCTGAACCATGTCAGAACTAACCTCCTTTTGTCATCGTTCTTTTCATTGAGTTGTTCTTCAGACTTGAACCTAGCAGAGTGCCTTCCCAAACAAAAGCTGTCAGGAGAACTGGAGAAAGAAATACTAAGCAAACTAAAAACTGTAGAGAAAAGCTAATATCATTCAAATAGACATTTGTGAACTGAAACTATACAGGATTCTGGACCATGTCAGAACAAACCTCTTTGTATCAACGTTGTTTTCTGTAGGCTCTTCTTCTCCAGACTTAAACCTAGCAGATTGCCTTCTCAAGCACACACTGTCATGAGAAATACTAAGCAACTAAAGCTTCAGAGAAAAGATAAAATAACTCATATAAAGTCAGATTCCAAGCAGCAATATAGCATTTGAAATGCAAACCTCTTCTTGTCAGCATTCTCTTTAGTTTGTGGTTGAACAGGACGAGTTTCCAAAGCTGCATGAAACCAAAAGAGAAAATGCTGGCTTCATGAAAAGGTTTCTATGATTTTGAATACATGTCTGGGGGGGAAAAACTGGTTACATTGAACATTTGCTTTGCGTTTCCCTTTTGGGTTACATGGTTTATTCTCCTCCTCTGGTTGAGAGAGTTGTTCAGCCCCATCACCTTTGATGGTTTCAACCTACAAGAGATGGCAAAATAGGATGAAATGCTATGTGGGCTACTATGAAAAAGACCCTTTTCCCATAAATTCTGTTGAGTTGAGCTCCCGAAATACCTCATTTCTCTTAATCTGGCATCTAACTTTCTTTGCTTTCTCCTAAAACAGAGAGAGTTTTAGAAGTCAGTCACCAACATTACTAACAACAAAACTTATTCAAAACTGAGGCAAAAAGAGCAGCGTCTAGGCATACCTTCAGCTCCAAATTTATGGCATCAAGCAAGCCACTCTTACATCCCAGCTCATGTTGAAATACCTTAAGCTGAACAGTAACAGAAGCAAGTAGTTAACACAGAAATGTCACAACACAGCACAGCACATATTGAGCCGGACAATCCAGGCTTGCATATATAAAGACTTACCTTATCTTTGCCTGCATTTAGTTCCTGGAATTTTAAGAGAATAATTTCTTCTCATCAAGGGCCCAAAGTTTTATGCAATTTATACGTGATGAAGAAATTGATTTGTGAATGACATTACCGCCAACATCTGGCTGTTTGTTTGTGCAAGTTGCTGATTTTGTTGCTGTAACTGCTGAAATCTGATTCTCAGCTTCTGCAACTCAATAGCACTCAACTCGATAATTTTACTGTTGACCAAAGTTAAGAAAAATGCACAATAAATCGCCAACATGAGAACAGAACTTCAGGAGAAAGGAAAATCAAACAAAAAGGTTACTTCCTATCCACGACAATCTTTGTCAATGTCATGATTTCCTGGACAAAAACATTCAAAAAGCAACCCATTAAGCAAAAAATTCTACTCCATACCAAAAAAAAAATATCAACACGTGTACATCTAGATATTGAAACATTCGACGTATACCCGTTGGAGCTTCTCAATGTAATCTTCACCTACTACAACAGATTGTGATTTCCCATCTTGGTTTCGCTGCGAGAAACTGCTAACTTCAGCGAGCGTTTTCCTTGATACAGGAAAATTGCTAATGTCAGCAAGCGTTCTCCTTGGCGCAATTCCAATCATGGACCCTTTTCTCAGTTTCTCTCCCTTTATTTTGTTACCTGACACATTCCCAATTTCCTCAATCACGCGATTTCAGCAAATTCACACAAATTGGTAACTCTGATTTGAATCATTACAGTTTTTCTCAGAAATCAAACCAAGACGCACGCTTCCTTCAACTTTTTAACCCTAAAAACCCTAATCAGCGGAAGATTTCGCAATTCTAACGTCGATTAAACCCCTAAATTAATCACATTCAAGCAATTTGACGAAGTGAATATAAATAAACAAGCATCGGTTGTAAATAAATAATGGAGATTTTGCGAAATTTCATATTAACAAAAAGTACATAGAGAGGGAGAGTACCTGCGACGTTGATGTTTTCTGAATCAAGAACCAGAATACCCTCCATGACCTAAAACCCTAGAATTTTTATTTCCTTTTCTCTTTCTAGAAACCCTGATCTTGTGTTTCTATCTTCAGAAAAATTGAATTTGTGCAAGAACGAGGGAAATGATCCAAATGAAGGAGAGTATGAAAATACGGGGGATTATGAAGGGTGTAGATGGAAATATGTGTTTGGTGATTTGGAGGGAGCCTGATATGTTTTTGAATTCACTGCCAGAACCCTCCTGGCTCCTGAGGTAGAAGTGATGGACCGTCGTTTAATGGAATAGAATTGGCTGCATCGACTAGGCCATGTGGCGTGTTGTTATTTGTTGGTGAAGAAGAAGAAGCAGGTGCAATGTCAATACTACGGATATGCCTGAGCCCAACTGATCCAATGATTATTGGTATAGGCTGGGTTTAGCCCATGATTTAGATTTCTGGGAGCATAAGATCTAGTTAGTTTTTTTAAGCTTTCTTATTGTTTTCGTGCTGGAATTTATTTCATTTAATGCACGAGGCAGAGAGGGCGTACTCTTGAGATAATTTGATATATATAGTAAAAAAAACCTTAGAATTCATTGATGTATAAAATGACTTGAGTATATTCTTTAAACTTAGGGTAAAAAGAAAAACGATTTTGGCGTTGAAAATTGTTTGAAATGTTGACTACATTGAGAAGGTAGATTTAGTTTTCGTGCGTGAGTAATCCGAGAACACCAGACTGCATTGAGCATGGGATAGCATTTTTTTGTTTGGTTTTAGATTTTATACTAGTGAATAATTAGTTAATTTTTTAATTTTTTTAATTTTAGTGATCTATTTTTTTAATTAAAATATTTGATGGTTTAATATGAAAAGTTCATATTATTTTAATAATTAAAATCAGAAATATATATAAAATCTAGTTAAAATTAAAAATATTATAAAAATTATTGTTACACATAAAAAAAATCATGAACACGTCGTTTAAAACAGAAGGACAACTGAGCCTCTTGCTTTATTCCAAGTAAGGAGTTATCAATATCAAAACACAACAAGTGCAAGTCATGTGATTATTTTACTAGCCTATATGTAAAGAATATTTATACATACATACATACATATATATATATATAAGTATTTCAGGATAGATAATCCTTTATTCTCTCACAGCGTAAAAGAAATAACAGCAGGAAAAATGCACCTTGGCTGACTCGGCTGTCGTTTCATGACCTCTCACGCCCTTGTTTGTTCTCTATGGTTTTTTTTTTTTTTGACTGATAGAGTTTGAGAATGCTGTATAAATAATATTTGGTAAAAAAATAATTTATTTGAATTATATATATATATATATATTAATTATTTTGATTTGTTAACATTAAAAATATTTTTTTAAATAAAAAATATTTTAAAAATAAACTACCGAATTGTAAAGCTGTTGACCAACGTTCGTTTTCACGGGTCTCAATTATCCTAATCTAAACTTTACTTTCTTGAAAGGTTTAGACGTCGTTTGTTTACAGAAAGTTGTTTTTTTTGGAAAGTGAGTTCCAAAAAAAGTGAGTTCCTGAAAAGTAAAGTATTTTTTGATATTTGGTAGTGTTATGGAAAATGAACTGGAAAATACTTTCCAGTGTTTGGCTATATTATGAAAAATGAACTGAAAAATAATTTATTAATATTTTATTCACTTTCTTGAAAATCAAGCCAAAGTTTCCTTTGACTGAAAAGTATTTTCCTTTTACCAACTTTCCTAACAGCAAACAAACACAAGAAAGTTTGGAAAGTGTTTTCCTGGAAACCACTTTCCGGAAAACAAACACAGTTAAAAAAGAAAACACTTTCCTGAAAACCAAGTCAATTTTTTTTTTACTGAAAAATATTTTTCGTTGACCAGAAAGTATTTTTCGTTGATCAAAAAGTGTTTTTCATTGATCGGACAATATTTTCTATTGACTGAAAAATATTTTTTGTTGACCAAAAAATATTTTCTATTGACTAACTTTTCTAATAACAAAAAAATATAAAAAAATTTAAAAAATAATTTTTCAAAAACTATTTTTCAAAAACAAACATATCCTTAGATTCTTTACTGAAATCGAAAGCTAGGACTGTAGAACAAGAGAGGGCCTCCCATGAGGACACGACATCAGCTATCCCAGCCTTCGTCCTTTCCTTCATTTACCAGGCCTCTTTTCTATCTCCTTCACTTTTTTCCTCGGATCGTCTTCCACTTAATTTTACCTTTTGCATTATTAAAGTTTTTCTATGTTTATAGTCCTGTCACTGCTTTTGTTCTCTTGCTTTTCTTTCTCTACAAGTGATCTATATTATATTAATTTTAAATTTGTCGGCTTCATTAAAAACGAATCGAACCTTATCATGTTACAAGATAGAATTGCATAATGTGGACCTCAATACCAAAACGTTACTGCAAGAAATTTGTCATGTTAGAAAAATCAGTAGATCCGTTTCTCACTTGAGGTATAATTATCCTTGCAGGTGACCTTCATCGCACGATGTTGTTGAAGCACCATGAAGCTCGCGAGAATTTGCTATATTTTCTTAATTTTTTGGATTATTTGTTCAACATAAATTACAAGGTACTTTTTTTTCGATTTATCATTATAATATGTTATTGAATATATATTAATCTTCAAAATCTTTATATTAAACTAGCGTGCAATTTACACGTAAATTTAATTTAATTTGTGCTTGAAAATACATTAAATTTGTGTTTTTTCGTACAGATTATCTAATTAATTTTAATAAATTGGTATACAAATGATAAATTAAAAACTAAACTTATATATTCGTAGATAAAATTAATATAAAAGGACAGATTAAATAATATTATACAATTATATGTCAACTAAAATTGTTAATTTCGTTTCGGTTAGTATTCTATTTTTCTTGATGGAATTATAAGTTTTAATTTCAAAATATTTAAGTGTTCCATTCCAAAATTATTGTGCATGTATAATTCAAAATATTAATTATGACATAACAAGTTAATAGATTTTTACCAAGTACGTACATTTGTTGTACGAGAATGTGTCCAATGCTATAAAAAAGAACCGAGGAAAATACAACACTTCTCCCTCCATAAGACATTAAAGGTTTTCCAATATAAAAACCATACAATTACAGCTCCTCGACAAAAACTTAAGACACGAGCTAATGTCTTCTTCCTCTAATTGTTCGTGTAAATTAGAGCAGGGAAATAAAGCACGACAGCGATTTAAAAGGGGAGATTCGAACTTTGTGAATTTAGAACTAGGAGCTTAGCATAGGCGACTCCGAACGAGACACCAAGGAAATAGCGACCTGTTGAGCGTGCTGGTGCACTAGAAGCGCCCTGGAAAGTTGGAACAGGAGTTACCCCTAGCAACCCCAACAGCCCAAGTTGCTAAAACCCACGGTCAAATGCAAAGTGCTGGTTACAAATTTTCTTAGACTCTTTTATTGTATGCAATAATTAGACTTTACTCTATCATTTGGACGTTTAAGAAATGCCAGCAACCTCCAGTAGTCAGTCCAAATCATATTAGAGTAATCTCCACGTGTGTGACCAAAAGGATATGAATCGGCACTGCAAAACCACGATGAAAAGAGACTCAATAGATCACAAGGAGTGAGACAAAGCTTTATGCATTCAAGACAATCTTGAGATCAGAATTACGTTGTCAAGTTTTGGTTCCAAACCTCCAATAACGGTCACGAAGATACAATGATCCCTAGCAAAATATGCAATTGAAGTTATATTCACTTCAAAGACCGAAAGAGAAACGAGGAGAGAGAGAAAAGAAACAAAGAAACATAATTCAGAATAAAATTTACTAAGTAAATTCTAAACATTTCAGCCCAGAGCGAAATAAAATTTATTTCACTTTATCTTATTTTTTAAAATACTAAGAGGTATACCGTTAGTTTTAAAGAGAAATGAGGGGAGAAAAAAAATAATAATAATTTAGTTTTAAATAGAAACGAGGGGAGAAAAAAAAAGATATAATTCAAAATAAAATATATTAAATAAATTCTAAACATTTCAGCCGAAATTTAGATAAAATATCTAATATAACTTAAGATTCAAAATAAAATAAAATTTATTTCATTTTATTTTATAAAATACTAGGAGGTATACCGAAATGAAATTAAACACCCTGTGTTAAACCATTAATTCTAATATTTTTATTTATTGGTTTTTTTTAAAAAAGCAAAGCGTATGATCGATCTCCAATAGTTGCGCTTAAAATGAGAACTCTTTTTCTTGGAATACGGTCTTTAGTTGCCGTTTTACTTTGTCTCCTTCCTCTACCTCGAGGCAACGTTTTGAAGCTTTTCTTGCCATCGACACAAAATACACGTAGACACCTACATTCCTTTTTATCTGAAATAAACAAAATCAAGTTCCTATAATTTTATTCACTGACTTTAATTATAAAATATAGAAAGTAATGACAATAGAAAAATAAAAAGCTCAAGATGAATGGATCGTGACAGTGTTTGAGTAACATGCAAGCTTTGATATCTAGTTTACTGAAGGTTTGTGCAGTGTACTTGAAAATCAATCAACTGTGAAAATTAAGTTCTAGATGAAATTAATATCTTGAAAAATCCAGGCTTAATTACCACAAATTAAATTTATTTTTTTCATTTCTTCATAATTATTCTGAATGTTCCACGGATAGAAATTTAATAGAAAAAAACATAAAGAAAAAAATTATAAATAAAATTAGTGATTTATAATTTTTTTTATTAACATGAGTGTTTAGATTAACTTATACATATTTTTATTAATTTTATAAAAAGTTAATTAATAATCTATAAGTTTTTAATGATTTTAAAATTATTTAAACTCGTGATTATTAAAGAATAAATTCAAGATTTAACCCGTTAAATTATCTCTGATTTATAGTTTTTCTTCTGCTGACCAGTTGAAGCAAGACTTTTCCCAGAATTATCTTGATAATAGCGTAATGATCAAAATTAAACTTTGCCAAGCGAATGTGCTAATCAGTTTTCTTTCAATGAAGTTAACAATTTGCCCTAGAGATAAGGTACTTGTGTATGGAGGGTGGGAGGCAAATTGAAGTCTGATTCTAGTTTCGGAGCGGTGAAGTGAAAATTCACCTAGTATTATTTGCAGAAGTCGGGTAGAGAAGATCACAAAAAATTATGGCAGTGTGCTTCTCAAGACATCATCAAGAAACTCTTTCAACCTATAAATCGATTACTCTGTTAGTTTTGTTTACTATAGAGCTTCCAGGCATAATTACTTGCTTTTGGCCTCTTTTTTGGGGTGGTGGAGTACCGCGT